AAATCTTCAAAGGAACAAGCTCATTATTGTGGGAAATACTAAGAGTATATGATTACTATGGGTACTTATCTTACGGAGGGTAGAAGAGTAATACTCTTAAGTTAAAAGTTTGAAAAGGGAATTTGTTTTAGCTACTTTATGTAATGACCATGTTTAAGGTTTGTTTTGATAGCTTTAAAAAGTTGTAAATAAGTAAACCATAACACCACCAACAACAAAACTTCACTATTCCTGATTGCATGAGTTTTCTGTGTGAAATAGCTAATACTCTGCTTTAAAGGTAGATTTCTTTACCAAAATGTGATTTCCATTTCTAGATACTGAAAAGAATATACATGCTACAAAATAGGTGCATGATTAATGTTTATTTTAGAGACAATGGTTGATATTTTTTAAATTAAAAAATAATCATGGTTGAAATAGTTTTGCTAAGGTAATATCGGGGAAATATATCATTCTTTTTTTCATAGAGTTGATGGACCAGAGTGACCGAGTCATTAAGTGCTTTGTCTTAGTTCTCAAACATGTCAGCCAATTGAAAAGGAGAAACATACTGTAATGACTAGAAATATGTGACCTTAAATTTAGAAAAAAATCATACTTTTCTTTGTACAGCTGAGTGGTAAAAAGATGTTTGCTGTGAAAACAGTCATTGGTGTAGAAAGCTTAAAATTTGAATGATGTAAATATGATAAAGGCTTTTTTTTAGCTGCGATTAAAAAGCACGATAGCCCAGAAAATACTATTGACATCATATTCTGTTGTTTCAAAGTATTTGTATTGACTCTGGATGATTTGTGTCAACCACATGCCTGATGTTATCTGTGGGCACGGCAGAAATGAGTGTTCATAAAAGTAGTATGGAGAATTCATGTTTCAAGTTGCTTAGAAATCACTGGTGGTTTTCTCTCCAACCTTCTATCATTGTTGTCTAAAGTATAAGGAAAAGAATATGGTGGAGGCATATAAGAATACATTTCATGTCCAAAAGCTACAGGACAGAATGACGTCTCATGAAATGTGTATA